CTGCAAATGCCACAGACTCCCTCTGAACTCACTGGTGATACATTCCCCCTGTGTGGACATCCAGATAAATGTTTCTAACAGTTCGATCCTCAAAACCTGAAAATCATTTCTTCTCTCGGTTCCTCCAAGAAGGACACTAGTATTTTCTGAGACTGACCTGGTCACTTGGGGAAGTGGGCGGTGGTCTCCCACGACTTAGTCTCCCCCCACCCCACCCTGGACATACAATGACAGGGCAGGACTGAATGGTCTCTGTGGCCCCTTCGGCCTCTCCCTGCAGCCTGAGGACCAGCCTCCGCAGCCCATGGGTACAAGCAGTGTCCCTCTGCAGAGGGCACCTGACTCCTTGCTCCAAGCCCCCCTCCGATTCACTCGGGCACTCTGGCCCCCTGACACATGCCCCCTGCCCCACCACTGGTTTGGAGGCCATGGGATCTGCCCTCACCAGACTTTTACACAATGGTGCTGTCCCCTCAAGGTCTCTGCTGTCCTTCCTCAAACCTTCAGGACAGACCCCCGCCCTTATGACCACCCGCGTGTTCGTATTTCTGAGCACCAGTGGTGGCCTAGGTCAAGTGTTCTCCCCAGAAGCTTTTCAACCACCATGGAACCAGGGGTGCAGACAGGTACTCGGGCAGGGCCTACACGTGGGAGGTCTGGAGCACTGAGCCCCCGGCACGACCGGTGTCCAGGAAGGGTGCAGGGGACTGGCAGAGAGGAGGATGGTCGGTAAAACAAAGCCACAGCCAAGGCCTTGGAAACACGCTCCTCCCCTGGCTCACCTAAGAAGTATCTCCTGAGCCCCCGCCAGGAACAAGCACCTGGGCCAGGTGCCCAGTCGGAGGCCTGCCGGGTGGAAGAGGAGCCTGTCTTTGGAGGCCCAGCTCGGGCACCGGGGCCGGCTCGAGCGCACAGAGGAGGAGGGTGGCCGGGGGCGGCGGGGAGGCGGGTGTGAGTTGGCGTGCTTGTGTGCCTATGAGACACTGCCAAGAAAGCCGTCTGTCCCCTGTTTGATTTCTGTGCTTCTCAATTCAGGCCAAGGTGGGGGGCCATCTGCTAAAATGGGCACAGAGAAAACATTTTCACTGTGCAGAAAATTGGCTTCAAGGGGAGGCTGTGCTCAGCACAGAAGCAGCCGCGAGCAGTGCAGGCAGATGACGCCGGGGCCTGGGGCAGGGCTGGGGCGCAGGGAGAGGCGCCCCTCCATGTCCCTTCCCTCCCCTGCCCCAGACCACCCACGTCTCTAGCGCACTAAGCCTCTTCTTAGGAGCCCTTGCATGGGAGAGGGGGACATGGGGGCTGCTGCCCCCTCTTTTTCTTTAAACACTTTTAATGAGCTGTAATTCCCAAATCATACAGTTCGCCTATGTAAAGCATACAATTTAATGGCTTTTGGTATAGCACGTTATTAATGCATTGAAATTGTTGGTAAATATATGTAACATAAAGTTTACAGTGTTAATGTACAGTTCAGTGGCTTTAATTACATTCACAGTGTTGTGCAGCCATCACCACTGGCTATTTTCAAAACTTGTCCGTTACCGCAGACAGAAGCTGCCACTAGGCACTAGCTCCTCATTCCGCCCCACCCCAGCCCCCGGTGACCTCTCATCTACTTTCTGTCTCTGTGAATTTGCCTGTTCTAGGTGGCCCAAAGCAGTGGAGTCACACAGTGTCTGTCCTTCTATGACTGGCTTCTGTCACTTGCATAATGTGTTCAAGATCTGTTCATGTCGTAGTACGTGTCGTAGTTTGCTCCTTTCTGCGGCTGGACGGTGCTCCCGCGTGTGTACAGGCCACCCTCAGCCTGTCCGCTCAGCTGCAGTGGCTGCGTGAGCCGCTTCCACGTCTGGCTGTGGGAGCTGTGCTGCTGGGGACCCGGGGCACATTACCTGAGTCCCTGCCTCCGGCTCTCTCGGGTGTACACTCAGAGTGCAATCGCAGGGTCATGTGACAATTCCACGTTTAGCTTTTCGAGGAACCGCCACACCGTTCCCCACAGTGGCCGCCCCGTTTCACATCCCAGCAGCGGTACCCGAGGCCCCAATTTCCCCACGTCCTCGCCTCGCTTGTCGTTTTCTGGTGCTTTGAGAGTAGCATCCTCCTGGGCGTGAGATGGTGTCTCTGTGGTTTTGATTTGCGTTCCCCTGATGGTTAGTGACACGGAGCGCCTTTTCACGTGCCTGTTCATTTACATATCTCCTTGTGAAAAATATCTGTCCAAATCCTTCAACCACTTTTGAATCGGGTTTTTTTGTGTGTGTGTGATGGATGAGTTTGTAGAAATTCTTTATGTATTCTGGGTATTAATCCCTTATCAGATATATAATTTGTGAGTATTTTCTCCCATTCTGTGGGTCCTTTTCACTGTCTTGATACCGTCCTTAGATGCACAAACATTTTTAATTTTGATGAAGCCCTTATCTATATTTTCTTTTACTGCCTGTGATTCGGTGTCACATCCAAGAAATCATCAGCTTGACCAAATCCTGCCCGCCCCTGCCCCGGTATAAATGAGTCCCCTCTGTTATCGTCTTGAGGCACTGACCTTCCCTCCGGAGCGGGACGCACGTGCTGGGTCTGGACAGCCCCGCTCCTGCCCCCGACCACGAGCCCCACGGGCAGAGGCTGAGTCTGTCTCGTCCCTCATAGAAATCCCTTCTGGCTGGAACATTCTTGGCTCTGGGCTTTGCTCTTCAGAATTTCAGTTCTCTAAGAATCACAGAACGTTAGCACAGATGTAGAAAGAAGAAAAAAAGCCTGAAACACTCTTTGAAATAAGAACCAACCACCACCACCTACTAGGGGAACATAGGCCAGCTTGGCTCTGTTTGGGAAAATACCCCCATGGCTTTTGTAGGCCGACAGGGGGGCCCCACCCTGTCCCCTGCCCCCGGGGTTCCAGGCTGGAAGAAAATGGCGAGGGGAAGGGAACCGCTGGGGCAAAAAGTGGAAGGGACTGGTTTTCACAGCTGTCCTGGGAGAGGAGGGTGGGAGCCCGAGGAGACAGGAACCAGGGGGAGAGATGACGGAGGGAGAAGGGGAGGGGGCGGAGGGGCACCGAGCTGCCGGCAAGGCCCCGCACGGTCATCTGTAAAGTGCTGTCCCTTCACTCAGCATCAGCGCACGTCTGCCACTCAGACGGTCCGTGGGAATGATGCTTTGCAGCGGAGAAGGTGCCGGGGGTGTCCAGTGTAGACCCCCCATCGAGCAAGCAGTGGGGGCAGGAAACACAAAGCGAGACGAGCAGAGAAACGCAGGGACCCCCCAGGACACTGGGTTTCCACCACGTGTGGATGGGGCTGGACTGCGTGGAACACTGTCCCCCCAGTTCATGTCCACCTCGAACCTGAGAATGTAACCTTATCTGGAAATAGGGTCTTTGCACCTGTCATCCAGTTAAGATGTGGTCATAGTGCATCAGGGTGGGCCCTAATCCTACACGACTGGTGTCCTTATAAGAAGAGGAGAGAGAGACCCACAGAGAAGAAGGTGGTGCAGCTATGAACCAAGGGACACCGGGGATGGCCAGCAGCCACCAGAGGCTGAGAGACAGAGGCATGGGACGGATTCTTCCTCAGAGCCTTCCGAAGCTACCAACCCGACTGACACCTTGATTTTGGACTTCTGGCTTCTGGAACCGTGAGAGAATAAATTTCTGTGGTTTTAAGCCACGTGGTTTGTGACACATTGTTATGGAAGCCAAGGACACTAATAAAGGGGCTGAGGGACAAGGACACTAATAAAGGGAGGCCCCTCAGGCTGGACACTGGGGAGCATCGCGTGGCTGGCCTGGGCTGGCCCAGCCTCCAGGGGCTGGGTTCTGACATGGAAGGAGCCAGAGCCACTTTGGGCAGGGCGGAGGGCAGGGGTCGAGCTCTCCGGCTTCTCTGCTCTCCAAGACTCTGGGGCCACCGGGCTGCTGCCCCTTGGTGTCTGGCAGTGGAAAGGGGAGGCTGAGAGGCTGGTGCCACAGGGCGTCCTGTGCCCAGCACAGCCGGCTTTGGCTGCTAGGTCCAGTGGCAGAGACAATGGCCAGGAGCGGGGCTGCTGACACTGAAGGACAGCTGGGTGCTTGGGAGGACAAGAGCTGTGTGGGAACCATCCACCCGGGACGGCCCTGATCGGATGTGTGGCCCAGACTCTCCCTGCTGTGGGAATCTGGTGGCAGGAGGGGGAGAGGGCGAGGGGGTGGGTTCCAGTATGTGAAGGGCAGGTGGGGGTCAGAGCACAGCGGGTAGAGTGGGTGTGGGGGGAGAGGCGGGGAAGGGGCCGGGGTGGCCGTGTGGGTCCCTGGGGCAGGGGCTTGGGGCAGAGGGACCGGCTACTTTGAAGGGCCTGAAGGGGGAACTTGCTCGGCCACAAAGGAAACCAGGAATCCGGCCTGGCAGGAGCCGTGAGAAGGGGAGCAGGGGCCGGTGAGCCACAGGGCACCTGAGGTCAGGCCACACGGGGCCCGCCAAAAAGAAGAGCGGCCTGTGTTGATGTCGCTAGTCACTGGTCTGGTGACAACTTCATAGCTAAACGATGTCACCGAACACCAACCTCAGACAAGGCCACTCTGTGACCAAGATAGATCAAGACAAGAACAAGACCCGTGTAACCACATCTGAACACAGAACGTGAACAGCGTCCAGACCTCACAGATGGCCAAGCATCCCCCTCTCCTGGCTAGTGAGTGACCGCCGCTGCTTTGTCAACGTCAGCTTCGGCTTTACCCTGTTCTTCCTACCCTCTAGATGAACATTATGAAGACACTGATCGTAGAACCACCCAAGTCCTTGAGCCTCCCCTCCCACACCCCAGCTCCCGCCAGCCTGTGTCTTCCCAGCACAACGCGAGTCCCGTGGGTCCTTCCTGACACCCTCCTACTGAGATGCCATTGTCCCCCATGGGGTGTGGTCTCCCTCGTCGCCACCAGTCAATAAACTCGCTTGATTCCGCTGCAGCGTGCTCCTGGGGTCTTTGGCTGCACAGTAATGGGCACCTCGCACATCACAGAAAGAACACCAAGCTTTATTCTCAATGACAAGGGACGCCACGGGTGGTTTCAAGCAGAGAAGTGGGAAGTGTTTTTGGGAAGAAATGTTCTGGGGAAGCAGCAGAAGTGCTCTGTCTGGGGGACGGAGGTGAAGGCGTCTGGAGCAGGTTCTCTGTGGCTGCTGGGGTGGGGGTGGGCTCCTCCTGCCCTGCAGGGCGGTCCAGGGGGTCAGCACATGCCAGAGCTGCTCTCTAGGGGCTTCTGACAGAAGAAATCAGCTGCAGCGAGCTGGACAGGGCTGACGGCTTCACTGGCTCCAGGCAGCCTCTGGAGACCAAGCACCCCAGAGGGGGAGTGCAGAGATGCCCACCGCTGCCACCACCCTCACCCCCTCTGGGCAGAGGGACCGTCACATACAAGACATCCTTTAAGACTGAGGAAAAGACAAAACCAACTGGCCCTTCAAGCGCCGAGGAGCCAGGACACGGGGGGCTCTGTGCCCCCATTCCCTACAGATGTCTGATGGCAAGGTCATTCCCATGACCCTGGAGAAGAGGGTCAGGGGACTGTCTGTGCTCTGTGGGGTGGGCTGAGGGGCCAGACTTGTAGATCACTGACAGCCGGGTCAGAGGGGACTCAGAAGGAGGGGTGCCCCCCACAGTGCACATACACACTGCTTCTGACCTGTGCCCAGGAGGGCAGGCTGGCTAGGCTTCTTCCAGGGCATCAGGACTACAGTGTGCCTCCTTGCCCTGGCAGGGTGGGACCATGCGGTGTGTGTGTGTCCTCCTTTGGTTACTGGTCCTAGGGGGTCCCCGGTGTTCCCCAGGGAGTGCAGAGGCCAAGCGTTGGCATTGGGCCCCTTGCCAGGCTACTTTTCCTCTTCTCCACATGGAGGGTGGAGCTTCTACTGGGCCTGCTTGCTTGAATTTCCCTTCCTCACCTGGACTGGCAGGTTCCTCAAGCCTCATTATGACCCTCTCTGCACCCCGGGGACCCTGACCTAGGGTAAGATCAGAAGAACTCGGGAAGAAAGGGACATGGAGCACTCACTCCTGGGACCTCCTCTGCAGGGGAGGGCGAAGCTCCGGAACCAGCGGCTGGGCAGCATTAGCACTGGCGTCTGCACACGAGGCCTGGTGGGCAGGTAGGGAGGACTCACATCAGACACGTCCACGCCACTCCCGCAGAGGGGTCTGTGGGGACACGTCCATGCATTTTGTCAGGGAAAAAAAGTACATGCAATATAAACGCATTAAGAAAAAAAAGACTGGAAGAAAACATTCTGAAATGTTAACAGTGGTTCTGTATGGTGGTGAGATCAAGGATTTTTATACTTTCCATGTGTTTTCCAAATGTTCTACACCAAACACGTGTAAGTTACATAATTTTAAACTTATTTATTTATTTTTAAACCAAACTCTCCAGCCAACTGCGCTTTTCCCCAGTCGCAGTAACTTTCCTTTCAGATTTCTGGGTGACCCCAAGGCCCGAGGCCCCCTCCCGAGCTCACACGTGGTCACGTTCGCGCTCTGACGTTCTCTTGTCACACAGCTGGCGCGTCGGGCGCCGGGGCTGGGGCCGGAGCGGGGTCCCTGTCCCCAGGTAGCTCGAGGCATCCTCCCCGCTCCGTCCCGGCTGGGCCGAGGTCTGGGCCCCGACGGGAGGCCGCTGTCCCCTTGGCCCGCGGACTCCGGGCTGTCCAGCCCCCGGGTCCCTCCCTTCCTGAAGCTGCTGAGCTCTGGGGGCCGGGGAGCCGCCCCCTCCAGGGAGCCCCCCGGGGCCCGGCCGGGGCTGGGAGGGCGGTGAGG